CTTCTGCAGCGCCACCTTACTCCCGAAGTACGCTTGGAAGAGGTCAAGCAGCTCTGGGGCGAGGGCATCGCCAAGCAAGCCGGTGGTCCTTCCGGCTCGGCGGCCCCTCCTTCCAAGTCTGCCCGTCCCTCCGAGGTAAATAAGCGTATCCTTGCACCACCTCGTTTTAGTGGAAAGAAGGATTCGCAAATTACTAATACTAAGACATGGTTCACGCTCCTTATGCAATATTTTGACTTGTCGCAAATGGACCCGCTTGAGCACTTTATGTTTTGGCTTACGGGCAAGGCTCAGGAGTGGGCCGCAGATCTTTTCCTTAAGCACAAGTCCGGCGCGCAACCACTTACCCGCGATTTGTTGCGTGATAAATTCCTGTTACAATATGGGGATGCGAAGCGCGACACCGCGATGGCCGCACGCGATCGTTTGCATGCGCACGAGTACGATATGAAAGTAGACGAGTCCGTACCAGAGTATACACAGCGCTTTTACGATATTGTTCGCGAAGCGAATGATATGAGTGTTGTGGATCAAATCTCTTGGTATATCAAGGGCTTAGTTCCTGCGCTGCGCGGTCGCTGCGCTACGGACGATGAGGGCAAAGACTGGCAGGATTTAGAGAAGCTAATCCTGTATGCTAGTGGTCAGGAGGTTCGGTGGAAAGCCGGAAAGGACAAAGCACAGCTTGCTGTAGTTACTACGCAAGCTGGCCCGTCTAAGATTACTTCCTCCTCTCGTCCTAAGCAATCTCGCCCTCGGTCCCCTTCCAAACAGGCCTGGGAAACGGTTCATGCGAAGAAACCGCGGACGTCCACGTCCGGTACTCCTCTCAAGTGTCGGATGTGCTCTCGCCTCAAACCGGCGAACCAGACTTGGGAAGAGCACAAGAAGGACTGCCTTCGCCACCTGCAGGAGCAGATGGCCCGACTGCAGGAGAAGACGGCTAGTCTAAACGCGAACCGACCGGCTAATTAGGACGCTGGCAAGCGCGAGGGGGTGTTTTGCAAGCAGGCGGTAGCACGTGTAGACAAAGTCTCTTCTGCCGAGCCTGACTTGAAGATTAGGGACTCTGTTGTTCCACCCGTTTGCGATCCGTTGATATGTGATCGGATGTTCCTTCGTGATGAATTTCGAAGGGTTGAGAACGAACTTGGGCGTCAATTTACGTTCGATGCCGCTTGTAACGACTCGGGCGACAACAGTCTCTGTTCGCGCTTTGCCTCTCCATCCAACTCGTTCTTTGATACGGATGTATCTGGCGAGTTTGTTTGGATCAATCCCCCATACACTCATATTAAAGAATGGCAGCAACATTACCACCGCTGTAAGCTAAAAAATCCTAAAACAACTTCTGCGGTGTTCGCCGTTCCTAAATGGACTCAAGTCGAGTGTCTTATGCGTTCCGCTGGATACCAGCTACTCAAAACTTATCCTGTTGGAACACAGTTGTTCTCACAACCAGTAGACGTTGGAACGCGTTCGGACTTGCCGGGCATCCCTTGGCCATTACAGCTTTGGTATGACCCGCCGTCCAAATCGGTGCAGCTTAACAGCTTAGATAGCAATGGCCGCACTATGCTTTTTGATGCTCGCTTGTGTCAAACGGCGTGCAAAGTTCTTGCCGACTCCGGTGCCAATTGCGGCCGGGTTGCCGACGGCTTCATTTCTCTCGAAGCTGTCCGCAGGATGGCTCTTTCTGTCCGTCCTTGCACTATCTCTACTGTTCGCGTCGCGAATGGAACTCACGAGCTTATCAATGGCTCGATTACCGCTAAGCTCCGTATAGGCTCCTTTCATGAAACAGTCACACTACTTGTTTTAAAGCAAGGTGTTCCAGGCGTTGAAATTATTCTCGCTGATGACTGGTTGGAGCGCAAGAAAGCGAAAATGTGTTGGGAATCACACACGCTTACAGTACGGAAAGCTACCGGCGATACTGTTGTCCTGAGGCCTTCCTTTTGGTCTTCAGCAGACGACGACGATCACCTAGATGGTATTGCCATCATGAATTACGTTACCGCCACTCTCTATGCTGCGAGTACGGTGGAAACGATGTCAGCTAAAGCAGCTGCACGGAGGATTGCCAAAGGCGCACGAAGCTATTTAATGCTTGTGCAATCTGAGCTCATTTCTGAATCCTCGGCGTCTGCGGAGACACTTCCTCCCGACACCGACATAATCCCCGAAGCAACATTGCAAGGGTTGCTTGACGAATACAAGGACGTATTCGAAGAGCTCAAAGGCCTTCCTCCAGATCGCGAAGTAGGTCATACGATTCCACTAGTGGAAGGGGCTGTACCGCCCGCTAAACGATCGTACCGGCTGACTCAATTAGAGCGCCAAGAGGTCCGTAAACAAGTCACCGAATTGTTGAGTAAGGGCTACATAGAACCCTCTACTTCTCCTTATGGTGCGCCCGTTATCTTTGTGGAAAAAGCTAACGGTCAGGGCCTTCGCATGGTCTTGGATTTCCGTGCGTTAAACAAAATCACGATCAAGCGGCGGTATCCTATGCCAAACATTACTGACCTCTTCGATCAACTCCAAGGGGCTAAGATATTTAGTTCCCTGGACTTACAGCAGGGCTACAACCAAATTCGCATTACACCAGAGGATGTTGCGAAAACGGCCTTTATCGCTCCGGGAATGGGCCAATACCAGTTCAAAGTGCTGTGCTTTGGACTCACAAACGCCCCTGCTACGTTCCAAGCGGTGATGAATCGGATCTTCGCCGAACACATTGGCAAATTTGTGCTGGTGTACTTGGACGACATTCTGGTCTTCAGTAAGACCAAGGCCGAGCATGAACAACACCTAAGGGTGGTGTTGTCCTTGCTTAGAAAGCACGAATTCAAGGCAAAGATGTCTAAGTGTCAGTTCAACCGGACCGAACTGCACTTCCTGGGCCACGTAGTCAGCCGTGACGGCTTGAAAGTAGACGAGCGCAAAGTTAAAGTTGTTAAAGAATGGCCGGTACCAACCGACGCCTCTAAATTGCGCGCGTTTCTTGGCTTAGCCAATTATTTTTGGAGGTTCATCCAGGGTTATTCCTCTCTCGTGGCCCCCCTCACAACCCTAACAAGTGCGAAAGTGCCCTTCCACTGGACAAAGGAGTGTGATACTGCCTTTCAGGGTGTGAAAGATGCCTTGACAAACGCACCAGTATTAAAACTCCCTGAGCTTGACAAACCCTTCGTAGTTTGGTCTGATGCATCGCTGCATGGCACTGGCGCTGTCTTGTTACAAGACGACCGACCAGTTGCTTATACAAGTTCTAAATTCAGCAGCGCGGAATACAATTATTCCACCACAGATCAAGAATGCTTGGGCACAGTCCTGGCAATGGAAGAATGGCGTTGTTACTTGGAAGGTGCGAGTCATGTCACCCTAGTAACGGACCATCAACCTTTGGTCTATCTGCAAGAGCAGAAAAGCGCCGATAAACTTTCCAGAAGGCAAGCTCGATGGTTGGAACGATTGTCTCGATTCCAGTTCACTTGGGAGTACCGACCCGGACGGATTAATGTCGCAGACCCTATTAGTCGGGTTCACGACACGGTGCTTAATGTGCTTACGGCCTCGCTGGCGGACAGCGACTTGGGACACCGAATCAAAAGCGGGTACGACGGTGATCCAAACCTTGCTAAATCAAGAGTAGCCAAGCTGCAGTTAAAACGAAGGAATGGGTTCTGGTATCGGGGAAACCAGATCTATGTCCCTCACAACGCTGAACTGCGAAGAGCCATCTTGACCGAGTATCATGATGTCCCTTACGCAGGCCACCGCGGTATAGACCGCACCAAACAAGCGATCGCACAATCATATTGGTGGCCAGGGCTTGACTCTGACATTAAAGAACACGTCAAATCATGTCCCCAATGTCAGCGTAACAAACCAACAAATACTAAGCCGGGTGGATTACTGCAGCCCCTTCCCATTCCAACGGAGGTGTGGGAAAGCGTGACAATGGATTTGGTTACGCAGCTACCGACATCCCGCAATGGGCACGATGCGATTGTAGTGTTCGTGGACCGGCTGAGCAAAATGACGCACTTTGCTCCCACACACACAACCGCTACAGCTGAAGATGTAGCCCGCCTCTTTGTGGCTACCGTCTTCAGGCAGCACGGCCTTCCAAAGAACATTATTTCAGACCGGGACTCTCGCTTCACAAGTAATTTCTGGAAGGAAACATTTCGCCTGTTGGGCACCCACCTCTATATGAGCACAGCTTTTCACCCGCAAACAGACGGGCAAACGGAACGCATGAATCGCGTTCTGGAAGAGACACTCAGGCACTACATATCACCCACTCAAGATGATTGGGATGAGCATTTGCCACTGATTGAGTTTGCCATAAACAACTCAAAACAGAAGGCAACGGGGACAACTCCGTTTTCCCTGAATGGTGTTCGACAACCACGTGTACCGGTTGACCTTCACCTCAAAACCAAGGTGCCTGCCGCTCAGAAGCAAGAAGCGATGCTTCGTGAGCGTATAAGCAAAGCTAAAAAGTGTCTCTTGGCTGCGCAACAAGTCCAAAAGGACGACGCCGACATGCATAGGCGTCCAGTGCGTTACGAGGTTGGGCAGAAAGTGCTGTTATCTACTAAAAATATTACGTTAAAAACCCCTGGAACTAAGAAGCTGATGCCTAAGTTCATCGGCCCATACACGGTTGTCGCTCGCGTGGGCGAAGCTGCGGTAAAACTGGACTTACCGGCGGCCTCCCACCTACACCCGGTCTTCCACGTCTCTTTGTTGAAATTGTACAAAGAAGACGTAAAGCGACAGCCACCGGCGCCACTCGTCATTGAGGGTGAGCCGTATTTTATGGTCGAAGCCATTGTCGACCATCGCGATGTTTCAGTCCGAGGGGGACGTGGAAAGACACGTCGAGAGTATTTGATTAAATGGGAAGGTTATGACTCCAGTCATAATACCTATGAACCAGAGGAATCCCTTCGCCAGTCTACCCCCTTGGCCGAATCCATCGACGAATATGAACGCAAACTGGCGTCTAAGAAACACCCTCAAGCCCCGGAAAAACCCAAGGGACGGAAATCTTCTAAGAAGAAGTGACGCTCCCGGGACGGTTCGCTTCAGAGGGGGGAGACTGTAGCAGGCTACATTTCCCTTAGAATATTTTAACGATTACTTTTAACAATAACTGTTAATTTGTTAAATGATCTGACTCAAGTTTCGTACATGTTCCGAGTTTCGTCACATGTCACGAACTGGGCAGCTGCTAGTAAGCGAATCTAACGGGCTGGGGCCCCGGGCCCCACCAACATTATCCTAGTACGGCAAGGTCCGTAGTAGAGATTATCCGGCAGGTAGGCCGAGATATAAGCTACCCGGGCGGGGTGTTCTGGCCAGACACTGACGTATCACATTACTAGGTGTTCGGAGTTCAAGACTCCGCTGCCGCCATCTCTAACCGTTACGTACACATCTTATGTACGCTAGTGCTTGCCGCCTGGTTGGACTTCTTCCTACATCGACGAGGACTAATAACTCCACGCTTCCGCTCTGCCAGTCCTCCCGTCAGGTGAGCGACTGCTACACGTGTGGTGAAGCACCCAGGCTGAGTTGCCTTAGGCCGGTAGACTGGGTCGCGTTTATCCGGAAGGCCAGCCCCAGGGGGTATGCTCTCCTGCGGCAAAGCACCCAGGCTGAGTTGCCTTAGGCCGGTAGACTGGGTCGCGTTTATCCGGAAGGCCAGCCCCGGGGGTTATGCTCTCGCACGGTGAAGCACCCAGGCTGAGTTGCCTTAGGCCGGTAGACTGGGTCGTGTTTATCTGGAAGGCCAGCCCCAGGGGGTATGCTTTCGCCCAGTGAAGCACTGAGGCAGAGTTGCTTTAGGCTGGTAGTTTGTGTTACGTTTATCTGCAAGGCCAGCACCAGCAGGTTTTGCTCTCGGACTGTTGTAGCGCGATAGCTACACAGTAATGATGAGCTTATCACGAAATATGCGAATCAATTATGATCATGAAATCTTCTGAAAACTGACCTGGCTGTCAAGAATCGTTTGTAAGAATTCACCGGAACTGAACATCATGAATCTGTACGACAGCCTTACCGAAATCCATAAATTTACTGAAATCGTCTTTGCTCACAGAACGGACGTGGGTTCTTTTAGAATTCATATTCTACTCACGTTCGGAGCGCGGTCTTATACCGTGGTCGGGGCAGTGCCGGCCTGAGACATACTTCACGGGCCAGTAGCACTGCACTATACTACAACATCTTTTGGTGTCTCAGTAGCGCATTGCTATTAATATATTATTCTCTAAGTAGTTGGCTTAATTTAGCGTACCAGCCGCCTCCCTCACTGAAGGGCGGCTGACCATTGACTTCTGAGGCGGATGTTCTCTGGACCACCGCGCACTCCCAACGAGGTTCTGTTACAAGCCCTACTTGCTGGACTTCGTCTTTCTGCTCAAGGTTGGCGGCTTTGAGCGCGACTTCCTGTCGTTCCGCCATGGATCCGCCAACGAACACTGATTCAATGAATGTAGATGAAGTCGCTGTACCGCCACCGAACCCATCGAACCCACCGAACCTTCCGAACCCACCGACTCAAGCGAATCCACAACGAACCACCGAACCGACTCGGGATGCTGGCGGCTCCACCGGTCCATCCCGTGGCGAACACGAATTGGTGGAGCTGAAACTCCAATTAGTCCAGGCTGAAATCGAACTCGCCAAAATCAAGAACTCTGGAGCTGGCCCGTCAACCGCACCAGTTCTGGTGGTGAGTCCTGACACTACGAATCTTGCGCGTACCGAACCCC